TTAGTTTGTCGGGACTTCAGCGCCCAGAATTCTCCAGCCAGCATAGCTGGAGAATTCTGGGAATTGAAGTCCACATGGTCTAGAACAGGGTGTCAATCTGCTGGCCCACAGACCGGATACGTCATCCGGAAGCCACGCCCACCCCATTGCCGGCAATGGCAAAACCGTCCCGATACGTTGTGCGATGACACGTGACATTGCGAGTTTGACATGTCTGGTCTAGAATAATATGAATGAATTCCAGTATCCTCTAGAATAGGGGTCCCAACCCCCGGTCCCTGGACTGGCACCAGGCCGCGGCATACCAGCAACCAGGCCGAACAAACAAGCAAAGTCCCATCCGCGGGATGCAGGCAGCACATGAAACCACGCCCCCTCTGGCCCACAGAAAAATCTTTCTCCACAGAACCGGTCCTCGGTGCCTAAAAGTCTGGGTGCCTTTGCTTTAGAATCATCACATACCTGGAAAAAGCTTACGCTATTGTTTGCTTCCTGAAATTTAATTCTCTGCAGCCAGTTAAGTTTAAGACCAATGGAAACTTTTGTTCATCCTCCATGTTAAAACACCAATCTTATTTCCACAAGATTTAGCCATTTAGAAAAAGTGCTAGGTGTTTTAAGGGTTACATGTAACTGATATATGTGAAGACCTGAAAGGGCCAGGCAAATTATTACGATTTCTCATTATCAGAATTGAGGCAATGGTAATCCTTTCCACTGGCAATAAAGGTAGCAAGGCTGCAGACCCAGCACCATGTAGTTAGGGGTGGCTACGTCTTGATTGCAATAGCCATTTTTTCAGTCCTCCCAGCTGCTGGAAAACATATTAACTTTATGCATGTTTGAGTTTGTTTATAACCACAGCAAATAATCTATCAGATCTAACCCAGCAGGCAGGACTGGAATCAGTTAGGCAAGTTCATTCAGCACTTTTAACTTCTGGTAAGCAATGTTTATAAAGGAAAAGTTAGGAAGCCATAAGGTTAAAAAAATAAATGTAATGGCTGCTGTATCACAAGACTGATTTTTAAAAACAATATTCAGTCCCTTTGGGGCTTCTTTTTCATTCCTGATCTAAATAATGGGCTGCCTGGCTTCTTCTTTTGTATGGGAGGATTGGTTGCCAATTTGTTTTCAGTTTATTTTTCATGGATAGAGAATATACATCACCTAGAAATTGGATGCTGGGTTGGTTTCTTTATTGTAGTTTCTATAACACATTACACAGAGAATATCGGCATAAGGATGTGTTCTCAATCAAGTCTTAGTTTCTTTAGTTACTGGAACCTCTAATAAGAAATAAATATAGTTAAGTATAGGAGTCACAGCTCTTTAATCTATGATTTTGAACTCTTAATTGGGGGTAGACAAGCAATGAGGCTGAGAGCAACTTTAGGATAGTGATGTGATAGATGGAAGACTTACCTTTAAAAATATGGCAGCCATGGTGGCAAAGCCAGTCAAAAAACCTTGGAAAAAGCCAGTAAACATGCCCCTTGCTGTCTAGCCTAGTAGAATTACTATATCTGGGTGCAAAATTTTACCCTGACTGTACAGGAATGAGCAGTCTCTCCCAACCACCACACAAACCCAAATCATAGGGAAACATTTGCAGACTCCCTTCCCTCTCCATCTCCTTTATGATTAGCACTTCTGAGTACAATAAAAAATCACCTTGTCACCTGCCCACAACATGGCTTAATGGAAAAATGATGGCAGTGGGCAAAACGTGTCATGTCATGTCAGAAATAAGTTCCCTGGGCTCCAGCACAAAATCTTGGAAGACTAAAACTCTGGTCCCAGAGACGCACTCAGATTGGATCCTGCAATGAGATTTCTTGTTTTTCTAAATATCAAGCTTTTCCTTACTCTAAAGCAATTATGAAAGGGAACACTCAGCCACATGGAATCAATTTAATTTACCCCAATTGTTAAATCTAACCATTCATTAAATGCTCTTGCCTTATTTTCTGAATTGGCACTTTGTCTTTCATAAACACTCTTCTTTTGTATTTTCTTATTTTAGTCACAGACATTTTATTACTGTATTTTATCTGCATTTCCAAATGAAACTCTGATCTTCCTCTATCCCGACTAACCGAACACTATTTTGAATAAATTAAAATGTGGATGTACACTGGGCCAAGATCACTCAAGAATCTTCATAATTGCCTGATATTTGACCCAAGTTTCTCCCAGTCATGCTACATTTCCATTAAGTATTAGCATTAGGCAGTAAATATAATCAGATAATGTGACTTATGACCAGCCACTATTTTCCTGTCCCATTCTAGCCAGCAAGCATGACAAAGCAAAAAGAGCCACACAATAAGATTCTTAGAATTTAGAAGAAGTTCTATGCATGGAACAGAGAAGTCCAAGTGTCTCCTCACCCCTTTGTATGTTAAATTCACCATTTGTGATGTGAGGAAGGCAGTAAGGAAACAAAGAATTATGAAAGTGCACATGTAGGAATGCTTTGAATTGCAGTCAGTTCTGTAATTGAGGAGCAAAGGGAAGATTTAGCCAGCCAACCCATCCAAGAATGTACAATTAAGGTGACTTCACTCACACTTATAGTTATTATAATTAAGGTGCTCCATTTTAAATTATAACAAATATAATTGTTACTCTGTACTCTATATTATCAGATTGCCTGCATCCAGTTCTGAGTATCACACTTCAGCAAGCACTTTGACAAACTAGAGCACATCTAGAAGAGAGAAAGCAATAGGTTTAGAAGAAAAAAAACATTACCAGGAATAATTGGAAGCACTAAGTATGTTTAGCTAAGAAAGAGAAGCCAAAGGAGATATGATAGCTGCTTTCAGAGATCTGAAAGGCTGTTATATAGAAAATGGAGTTGTACTATTGGAGTGGTGGCTCAGTGGTTAAGACACTGGGCTTGTTGGCTGGAAAGCTGGCAGTCAGGTATGAGACCTGAGCGCCACACAACAGGGTAAGCTCCTGTCCTCAACCCAGCTGCTGCCACCCTAGCAGTTTGAAAGCATGCAAATACAAGTAGATAAATAGGTATCACTTCAGTGGGAAGGTAACAGTACTCCATGATGCTGGCCATATAACCACGGAAATGTCTTCAGACAGTGCTGGCTCAATGGTCTTGAAACAGAGAAGAGCACCCTATAAACAGCAACGAGTAGCGGAGTAAAATCTGCAGGGACTCCTTTATCTTTTATTGTTCAGTCATCCCAGATGTCAAGACAAGAAACAATGGGTTTAAATTATAAGGAAGATTACTTTGATTGGGCATCAAAAAAAGTCTCTTAATTCTAAGAGCTGCTTAAGACAGACTGGCTTGGGAGGCTGTGGGCTTTTCTTTATTGTTAAGGGTTTAAAGATTGCTGAATAATTATTTCACAGATGTTGTAAGCAGTGAGTTTCTGCTCTGGATAGAAGTTGGATTAAATGTTCGTAAGATCTCTTTCAATTCTTAAATTGGATGATTTAATTATTCTATTGATCCTGACTGCACGGAAGGAAACCATTTTCATTTAAGGGCACACAATAAAGGATATTTTTTTAAGAAAAATATGGGATAAAAGGATACTAATTAAAGGGATCGCTGCAGGAAGGTTTTTTTTTTTTTTTGCTAACCATAATTTATTCTCAACGTAAGGTTGTTTATTGCCTATAGTATAGACACTGCTGTATTTTCATGGGGAACAAAACCCCCAATCTGGTCAATTCCAGTTTAAAAATTATGCATTTGCATAATTCAAAAGCCATGCTCAATATGAATGAGTAGTTTTATAATTTGTAGCATTGACTTAGTAGCAACAGTAACTAACTTGGACTTATATTGCTATCAATCTAACATACTTTTTCTCTACAGAAAGGGATTTTCTATTTATTAATTGCACCCAAGATGAGTTGAAAAGTACTGTCACCAATCTCAAGTATGTATAAAATGCATTTCCCAACATTTCTTCAATTTACGATTGAATGTAATCAGTTTTACAAAATCACTCCCAGACTTGGATTCTCTTTACTTGGTTTAGATCAGAGGTCCACAACATTTTGGGCACCAGGGACCAGTTATGTGGAGAGGTTTTTCCGTGGACCGGAGGGGGGCGTGGTTTCATGTATTGTCTGCATCCCACGGATGGGGCTTTGCTTGTTTGTGCGGCCCGGTTGCTGGCATGCCGCGGCCCGGTACTGGTCCATGGACCGGGGGTTGGGGACCCCTGGTTTAGATTGCCTCCTAGAAAGAATTAAAACTGGGAACAAAATGCTCAATCAAGTCTTGGAACATGATGAAGATGTACTGCTTTAAAAAACAGAAGCTATAATGAATTTTGTAAAAATATTAAAATCAGAAGAAAGTTTTGAAGTACTCAGAAAAGAAACTTATTTTTCTTTGCTTATTAGGGTCAGATTAGCCTTAATGAAATAAATACAGAGCATTACATTAGTTTTCAGACATATACTAAGCTAGGTTATTTTTCCACAAAGTTGTAGAATTCCATGTCTCTTCAACCAGATATTGTATGTACATGACTATTGGTCATCAGTAATAATCACTTCTAAAAGAGGAAGCAGCAGGCAAAAAAGGAATTGCATTAGATATTCTCATGGTCTAATAGAGCAAATTTGGGAATTGTCTATTGTATTAACATCTGCATCACTCTGCATATTTCAACCAACTGTAGCTCTTGGTAAATTCAGTTACCTTTACATTATATCACCCTTTTATGAACACTGGAGAGTTAAGAAAAATTTGTTTTTAAGGTCATTTTATATACCTGTTTATGATCAAATATGAGAACTCTGATATAGGGTATTGCCTATGTAAATGGACTCTATATGCCAGCACTAATGCATATTAACTTAACTTAATTAAGTTAAAGGGATCTAATGATTATATATAAATTTTATCCAGATTAGAATTCTTACATGTTTCTTCCAAGCAAGAAATGAATATATTTAATCCCAACTAGATTAATTTCTTAATCTGTATTAGATTATCAATTTCAGTACTTTATTTTATTCCACTTTTTGAACAATGTGTGAATTCAATGGATATTATTCTTTCAATTAAAGTATACATTAAGCTCTGCATTTCAAAAAAATCAAAAGAACTGTGTCTTAACAGAATCTATCCACATTTTTAACTGCCAATAATCAGATGGAGAGATAATAGGCCTTTGGTGCTTCCTCTAAATCACTGCCAAAATATATTTAGATTTCCATTCAATATATAATTTTTGGAACTCATTGCCACAGGATGAGGACCTACAACTCTCTGCCACTGGACAGTAAGTAGTAACTATTTTGAGAAATAAACTGTTATATTCATAAATGACTCATAATGTGCCAGAATCATATTTTCAAAATGTGCCTTTAAATTGCTACACAATCTAGGTATTACTAGATAAAATAACAGCAACTGTCTTCCTAACCCACATAATTAAAGTGAAAGCAAGACCACTTTCCAGATGTTTAATAAAATTGTTTTAGACACAAGAACAGAACAGACTTGAGCAGATAATTCCTGATGGCCTCTTTGGAGAACTGAATGCTCCCCTTCCCCATAGTCAGGTTTTCAGAATCAGTTTTACTACATAGTAAATAAATTGCTTTCAGACATTTCCTTCTGAAGTATTTTCCCGGCTTGCATGTATGCACGTTACCTCTTCAGCCAGATCAAACCGGCATCTGAGGCTGGATGCAAAAATTAAATTAAAGTGTATCATTTCATATCCCAAGCCTGAAGCCTTAATGTGAAGCCTCCTCCCTGCCCCCCTCCAGTTTATTTTTAATCAGTATATTCAAAAATTCAAAAGGGCCAGGCCATGAAGAAAAGAGAATTTGCAAAGCACATTTTGATTCTCCAGCATCATCACTCCTTGGCTGAAGCATCAGACACCTGCTTGAAAGACTCTTGGAAGTTTCTTTGGAAGAGCAGATGTGCTGGAGGTGGAGAAGACAAGAGGCAGATGTAGGAAAGTATAGATGACAGGTGATGTGGCTGTTGATCAAATCGCAGTACAGGACTTGCATTTTGAGCCTGTTGGGCTTTGCCAGCTGCTCAGTATCTGTAATGATCTTGTTTGAAGGGGCCATCTTTGGATAGTCCTAGGTACTTGGCCTGCTTATCATTCAGCTTGGTTAACTTCACACCGAGTTTATCCAGATGAGCAGCAGCTACTGCTTCATCCAGCTGAAAGAAAAATGTGGAAAGTTACAAATATAGGAAGGTGCATCTTGATATGGGCTGAAAACATGTAGCCGTCTGTATGCTAATGAATAGCTCCAGATGTCCAACTGTAAAAGATATTAGGGAGCTGAAGCTGGGCAATATGTGAATGCTAGAAATATGTGCAAATCATTTCATCAAGCAATGTTTCCACACAGATGGACAGCAAACATGCTGGAGCTGAGTTTCTCAACCTCAGCAGCTTTACAATGGGTGGACTTCAACTCCCAGAATTCCCCAGCCAGCCTTGGAGTCCACACATCTTAAAGCTGTCAAGGCACTAAAGACTCAGGCTGGGTTCTTTTTCCAGCCCTAACTGGAATATACCCAATCAGCAAGTTAATGATCGTAATGATTTGGAACTCACTGCAGATAAGCTCTACAGCAGTGGTTCTCAACCTGTGGGTCGGGACCCCTTTGGGGTCGAACAACCCTTTCACAGGGGTCGCCTAAGACCATCGGAAAACACATATTTCCGATGGTCTTAGGAACCGAGACATCGCTCTTCTATCTTCTTGCCCTCCTCTTGGCTCTCTTTCTCTCTCTCTCTCTCTCTCTCTCTCTCCCCCTCCCTCTCCCCACCTGGGCGCTTCTCCAACCAGGCTGGGCGGAGCCAGCGGAACGGCCTTCCCCCCCCTCCCTGGCCAGCTGGATGGGGGGTTGGGGGTCACCACAACATGAGGAACTGTATTAAAGGGTCGCGGCATTAGGAAGGTTGAGAACCACTGCTCTACAGAGATTGGAGCATGCGTTTGCACACCCATTCTGTCTGCTGCTTGAATTTGCTAAATCCTAAGTAAAACTTCTTGCAAACCACCCCTGGGTGGATATGCGTATCTGCTGGGTGTATATACTGGGAGAGAACAGTTCATTACTTAGAAAATCTGCTGATGCCAATATATTGCTTTGATGATTTTACCACATTCTCTCAATCTATCTCTGTGTTCCATGTCTGGGCATCCTTTTTAAAATGTCATCCTCTGAACACTGCAGGCCAATAATTAAATATTGTTGCTGCAGTGAACAGGAGAATTTCCCCCCCCCTCTATTTTTTTTTTTTTTGCTCTTTTTTTAAGGAAACCTGGAGTGCTTTTAAGGACGGAGAGCACAATATCAATGTGCTCTGGGGCTACCAAAATTAGGCTGAAGAATTGAATATGCCTCTTAAGTTATCCAGCCTAATATATCATCATAGCTCCTTTCCTGAAAATTATATAAAAACTGATATAGGCCAATGGAAAATGAGCATGAATTAACCCAACTTTGTTGTGTTCACTTAAAACATTTAGGTCTTAATGGAAGAGTCTCTGATTTACTGTACGTTCCATAGTTTGATTGTCTACCAGTAGTCCATTATCACAGCCTTGTTCAGGAAAGTGTTAGATTTACAGTGTTTCTCAACCTTGACAATTTTAAGGCATGTGGACTTCAACTCCCAGAATTCCACAGCCAGCAATGCTGGCTGTGGAATTCTGGGAGTTGAAGTCCACATGCCTTAAAATTGTCAAGGTTGAGAAAAACTGTGTTAGAATCTCATAGGTACAATCTTTTTGAATTTATAACTCTTTGTTTTGGTGTTGGGGAGAAATTGAATCCATTTGATTTTTTTTTAAAAAAAGTTTAAATGGCATCTCACTCTAGAAAAAAGAATTCATCCATAATTTTCATAATTAAGGAGAAACCTAATCGAATTAAAAATGGCACAACACAGTTCAAGTTAAAGACCCTGAAGAACTATTCTAAGCACTTGCCAGAAACATGTTGCAAATGACTTTGCTCAGAAGCTCAAGGAAAGATATAAGCCATCTTTCCATTATGATTTACAAGGGAACACTTAGATACCTGGAATATCCTCAAAAGAAACCTTGAGCAATGTCATTCATATGTGAAATATGCTTCAGTGCATGAAATTTCAGAATAGCTATAAAAATGTATATACAGTGTTTTATGTTCCAGAGAGGCATATATCAAGTGCACAAATTAAATATATAACCAGATTGAACATCCAGCCTTTTAATTTTCCTGTGTGAGCCAGATGTTGAGAAGCTTGTACAGAACAATTTCTACAATACTACAAATCTATAAATCATAATTTATGCTGCATTCTCATAACATGGTAAATCAAAATAAGCAGCCATAAAATAATGGCTTAACATCGTATTTATCTGATTCAAACAATATGCTAAAACAACATTTGGTTTAGCTTAGCTATTATAGTTTATGTATTATAGCTTATGGGTTAGCAACTTATGCTAACATTGCCACAGATATTTAAAATATAAATAAAATACAGTATTTTGATGATTTTCTGAAGAAGTCTATAATGTTGGATAAGATGGTATGCAAGAGAACAACTATCAGCAAGATGGATGGACTCAATTATAATGGTGTCCAGTACTAATGGAAGCTCTGAAGCACCAGACTAGGGACAGATTATCCTACATATCCTATATATTGACCAGCAATAATTGACAGTAGCTTTACGGAATATAATAAGTTCTGGAAATAAGGTTGGCTTATCTTCCCCACATTTATTTTGGATACCAAAAATTATATATTTCAATTAAAACATATTATTCCTTTTTTTAAAATGAACACACTTACCTTCTTTGGCAGAAAATGGACTCCTACAGTATATTTACCAGGATTTGTCCAAAGCTCTATTTGTGCCAACACCTGATTGGTAAAAGAATTGCTCATAACAAAACTGGGATGTCCCATGGCACATCCCAAATTCACCAGCCTGCCCTCTGCCAGAAGTATAATATGACGTTCATTTTTCAGTGTGTAACGGTCCACCTGAATGAAAATAGGAAAGGAGAAAGGCATTACTAGACTTCCAAATGATGCAACATCACAACAAATTTTTTGTGGCCAATTGAAGTAATTAATATACTGAATCTTTATAAGGAATTTTGCAAAACAAGGAAAAGGCAATTATCATTTAGTCTCCTGATAATCTTTTTCACTGCATTTCCTGTAAAAAATAATATGTTAAAAACAGTGAGATAAAAAATACATCTCTTAAGCATATCAAGGCAGCTAAGTTCTTGGACAACTTCTCAGTTCTTGTAAAGAAAAGCAGGCAGAGCTGTGGGGCGGAGTTAAGCATGTCATCATCTTAGAATCTTTACACTGCCACAAATGGTCCAAATACAACCCCTCCTGAATTCCATTGACCCTTACCTGGCAGCAATTTAGTACTGAACTTTAGTTGACTAAATTCTTGTGCATAGGCTTCATCAATAAATTCTTGAATTGCAACTTAACAAATAGTCCTGATGCTGCCTGATAGTTCTACTCATAGATATCACCAATTTATGTGTTTTTATTGCTGAATACAGTGTCTGAGTAAAAGAAGCTAAAGCTTTTTCTATGTACATACATCCTACACTGGAGATTTTTCCTCAAAGTCCATTTTTCACAAAATTATTTTAAAGCTATCAGCTTTCCAGAAAATTCTGAATCAGAAAATGTTCCTATGCAAAAATTTTCCTATGAGATGAACAGGATTTGATGTGTAGAAAAAAATCTAGTCTATAAATTTGAATATTCAAGGATCTAAAATCTCTGACATGAGTAAAAATATTCTTAGTGAAATATTGGAAACAATGATGGGCAAGAAGCAATAAAATAATATGCAATTACAATATATTTTTAAGTTTCTCTCTTTCTTTAGATCAATATATGAAAAATAAATATCACATAACCTTGAAATTGGTAAATTTGCTGAAATAGAAAATGTTGACCTTGCCAAATTTTACCCTTTTGACTTTCCTTACCCATATCTCTTGAGTTACAGCGAATTATAAAGCCAAAAGAAGCCTATTCGCAGTAATGAAATACACCACAACATCCAATCATTTCTAGAGACACTCAGATAGCAAGGAAAGTCTTAGACTGGTCTACCAAGGAATTCTATTTATGCCTAATTAAATGTAGACGTTAAAACACAAGATCTTGATTGGAACCTGTAAAGCTCTTCCTGGCATGGGGCCAGATTATTTGAGAGATCGCTTCTCTCTGATTATGTCTACCCATCTCATTAGATTTGACAGAAGAGGCACGCTCCAAGGAATGGTACCTAACCTAGTGGGGTCCTGGAAGAGAGGCTTTTCTGTTGTGATGCTGGGACCTGAGTGAACAGAAGAAAAAAATTGGCCCTCTGGGAGATCTGATTGTCCTTGACTTTATTGGCCTTTCAGACTTGGGTCTTTCACTGGTGGGGAGGGAAGGGTGCATCCATACAATGGTTATATGTTAACGTCTGACTGATAAGTCTGTTTTTACTCCAACTGCTCTTTAAGTTTTTCTGTTTTTTTCAATCTTTTTATTTTTAACAGTTACCCACCCAGAATGAATTTGAGATGAAAAAAATAAAATAAATAAAATAAAAAGTATTTTTGGAAGACATTCTGCTATATCAAAACTGTATCAATGGGAAGCCCGCAGTAACATCCCCACATATGTAATTTTATTTAAATACTTGAGTTTTTCCATATGGCAGTTTGGGAGAAAGCCAACAATAAAAAAATAAAATTTCTGCAGAAAATAAATTAGCAAATTCTGGTGGAAAAAGAGAGCTCTTAAAGGTGGGGGAGCCAGAACTCAGCAGAGATGGTTACATAACAAAACCATTTTTTTGTTAGGAAGCATTACTTCCAAACCCACACATATTTACATATTAGCTTATATCCACTAACAGAACTCGGGGCAATACTATGTTTAGTATAAAGGGATGAAACCTTTGGCTATACATTTCATCAGATCACAGTTTTTAGTTTATTCCTCTACAGGAACTTCTATTTCTTGGCATAACCCAATAATGTGTTATAGGCAAGTTTAACTCTGTAATAGAATTTGATTACTATCATTTCATCTGACCAATTTAAGATATTCCTTGAAATTCTATTCATTTCTAAGCAATGAGCCAACAGGCCAATATGAAAATAATGGGGGTTTAACATAAAACATAATGTGCATTTTGCAGTTGTGTGTTTGCTAAAAGATGAAATGCAGAAATGTGAATTTGGGGAAAGGAACAGATGAAGGAAATAGTATAGAACAAATGATCTATTCTGAAAAGCAATGCTTATATTTAAATAGATATTTTAAGAAAAAAATGCAAAATTATAAACAGATGGCATGGCAGACTGAAATGAATTAAAATTTCCAAAAATGAATGCTGAATGAGTTGTGAAGAACAGGGAAATTATTTTCTCATGATGCGGCACTGTAACTATATACTGTATGAGTATTCTGTGGGAAAGTATTTAATCAAATTGAACAGAAGACAAAATATATTGCTCATTTCTGAGTTATAATTTATCCTATTGGAAACAGATGGTAGCTAAATAAAAATATGCAATTGTTTTAAAGTAGCTAAAATATGCATTGTTTAGAATTAGTTGAAGTAACAAATGTTCTTGCTAAGTGGGCTTAAAGCATGTTAAACTTTCACATTAAAAATATGAAATCAGATTTTCATAGCCAAAAGCTGGGGGGAAAAACCACATAAACCAACTGTTTATTCAGGTGAAGATGCAACAGCTCTCCACAGGTTTTATATAAGATAAGATAAGATAAGATAAGCTTTATTGTCATATTTTTTTTACTGTGGGCACAACGGCACACATCAAAAATGAAATTTAGTTGCCCGCTCTCAAAGTGAAACACATACATGACATACATCTAAACATACTATGTACAACGTATGTATAGACCAGGGGTAGGCAACCTTGGCTCTTTTATGACTCGTGGACTTCAACTCCCAGAATGCCTGAGCCAGGAGTTGAAGTCCACGAGTCATAAAAGAGCCAAGGTTGCCTACCCCTGGTATAGACCCACACCCCTACATATACATAACAAATAAATATTAAATACTGTCCATCTTGAATATATAACGGGAGGAGGAAGCTTGAGAGTTCGCAAGGTTAATGCTGTATGGAATGAAACTATGGCTGAATCTCGATGTTCTGCTACGGATACCACGAAGCCTCCTCCCAGAAGGTAACAAGGAAAACAGGTAGTGAAGAGGATGTATAGTGTCCCAGATAATCTTACGGACCCTGCTCAAGCAACGCTTCTATGCTATGTCCTGGATGGAAGAGAGGGAACTGCCAATGATCTTTTTGGCCATCCTCACCACTCTCTGCACTGCCTTCCTGTCTGAAGCAGTGATTCTTCCAAACCAGACTGTGATGCTGTGTGACAGGATGCTCTCGATTGTCCCCCTGTAGAAAGTGGTCAGGACAGAGGAAGGACAATGTGCTTTTCTCATGCGATGCAGAAAATGCAGGCGCTGCTGAGCCCACTTTTATAACTTCAATGAGATAAACCTGCAGTTATGTGTCTCTGAAATCTTAGTCTAATGTTGTAGATGACACTTAATCTAATGTAGTAAATTCTACAGTAAGGGAGAATTTATTGAGGTCTAGGAATGTTATTACCAGTAACCTAAAAAACACTTTTAAAAATGCATCTGTTTAAATTCTTTGTCCAGATCTGTACTATTTTAATATACTAGGGATCTCATAATAAAAAGTTTGACGATTTCTATAACAAGAGACCTGCAGAGATAGGTCTTGTCAAGAATGCACAGTAAAGACTATCACTTTGCATAATAATGTTTATGTTTAATACTACCCTATTCTGTGTAAGCAACTAACCAACAACTTCCACAATGCATTGCCTAACCTACAATTCCCAACCTATAGGATAGAAACTTGGAATTATCCCATCCATCTAGAAAGCACTACATTGGGAAGGTTGGGATATAGCATCATGAATTTCAGAAATGAATGCTGCTATTTCATCAGGACATGATAAAGTTATAGCAAAGTTCCTCTTACAGGACCAGTTTTCAAAGCAATTAATATTCACGTAATCACGTAAAAACAGAGCTTTTAGAATTAAGGTTTTTAATATTGTTTAGAAATTTATTGTATTGACGTTTTAAAGTTCTTCTCAAATTTTCATCAGATTGTATCTCACTTTAGGATATTTATGAAAGATGCAAAGAAATTATATAACTAAATACTATCAAATTAATATGTTCATTATAAAATTACTGTCTGTGGCCTTATAATGAAACACACTATGGTTAAGAACTGGCCAAATCACTCATAACTGCTGAGATACAGGACAGAATTATCAGACTTTATCTTGGATATCTGCTTAATATCAAATAGCAGGGGAGATGTACTTGATTCCAAGTAAAAAGACAACTATAAATGTATTTGCTTCAAAACACCAAAGTGGAAAAAAAACTTGTAAAAGGTTATTTCTGATGAGAAAGCACCTTGAAATAAAGCTCAAAGAACAAATCTTAACAGAATAACATTTTCCTTAGGAAAGCCATGGTGCTGGTTCTTATCAAAATCATACTTTCCTTTAATCGCAGGATTTTTTATGGGACATCTTCCTTGCATAAGATGTTCAGGAATTTTAGGGAAAATGGAGAGAGCTTTAAAACTAGACCACATGAAGGGATAAGAAATGTTTTTGATGTGCTCCTATTGAATTCATTATCTTAACACCTGAAATGTTTCAAAACTGCTCTGGAAAATGTTTTCATTCAAAAAAAAAAAAGTAATATTAAAGCACGTGTTTCTGAAAGACACCAGGTTTCCAATTACCAATGAATAAATGAAAAACAGTAATTCAATATAATTCAGAAGGACAAGGTGGAAATGTAGATTTGTCATATGATACATAGAAGTGTTCACCACAGCAGGAGATGGCAACCCTGGCTAGGAGATTTCACTAGAAGAACACAAAACAACACCAAGCAGTGACAGCAACAAAATGAACTTGTGCCAAATGGGTTTTAGACAGATCAAACTAGCAAAAGATGTATCCTCAACTGGCTGTGATGCAACTAAGTTAGATTTTTATAAGGTTAGATCACTTTGCCCAAAAAAATTGAATTGATTTGATGTTTTGTGATGCCTGGGAACCAGAATTTTCAATCACAGCACAGTAACCCATTAGTGTCAAACCCCACATAGCTGGGCCAAGCTCGGGGAAGCAAGAATAAGCCAGATTTCAGTACAATAATTTTCATGCTAGCCTTGGCTAAATATAGAATCTTAGAAGCTGCAACAGGATCCAATAGAAGAGAATCTGTTTAGCTCAGGGTTAAACTGTGGAGCTCACTGAGCTTGGTTGTTTGCTTGCAGAGATTTCATTACCTGACTAGGTAGCAACATCACTGCAAAAAGAGTTTCCTAGGTTTATTTACAATGTGTTCATTAAGATGGAGTCTCTTTGAATGCTTTAAAATTACTCTTTCCACCAGGATTAAGTCACCATTTATGATGTAAGCTGTTCTATGTTCTCATTCATTCTTTTCTCAACCTCTCTACACTCTGTCATGGCTATTAACACATATACCTTTCTGGGTAGCTTAAAAATAGGAAGTAGAATTAGATGTACTAACCTGGGGTTTGATATTTACAATCTTCATAGCATTTTGATTCAGCCATTTCACGTCAATTTCCACATCAAAGTGCCCAATATTGCACACAATGGAATCATCTTTCATTTGTTCAAAATGCCTGAAATAAAACAGAGAAATATTTTTCATGGACACTAACTAGGCAGACACCCAAGAAACTGGACTTTGAAGGTTGCCAGATGTGTGGCAATAAGATACTCTACCAAAGTTAGCATGATGGATGTCTCTACCATTAGTTAATTGTTGCAAACATCTGTGTGAGTGTCTCAACTCTAAGCTATGACAGAGGAAACAAAGTTTATAAACAAATCCATATTTAAATACACAGGTAGTCCTTGTTTAAGAACCACAGTTAGGTACTGGCAACTTGGTTTTAAGCAAAGCAATCACTAAGTAAAACTGCAAATGTGCTTATGATCTTACTTCAGCATTACTTTACACACCTGCAAAGGCTGTAATGCAAGGATTTTTAATCACTGTCATAACTGCAAATGGTCACTAAACAAAGACTACCTTTGTGCAGAATGATAGAAATCGGTTTCAGAAGTTTGACTCTCAAAATTCATCAACTAACATCTAAAGATTTGTATTGGGAGTAAATAGCACTGAGAATAAGATTAAACCATCAAAGAAAGTATGTCAGTAATTCAATTTCCACAATTTTCTGCATTTCTGTTTAATACTACATGGAGCCACACCAGGCATAACTAAAGCGATAAATACCTCCCCTGTACAATATCTGAACATCCAGTTGTAGTAACAAAGATGTTGCCTTCTTTGCAGGCTTCTTCCATTGTTGTAACTTCATAACCTGAAAATATATAAAAAGAAAAATGTTTCTTGTGTTATAGCCAAAAGCATGCATTTAAAAAGTTTAGCCATACCTCTAAAAATATAAAGCATCATAAAGCTAATAAAGATTCAATCTTCCTTATGTAATGTGTGAAATTATAATTTTAAAATATATTTGTTATGCATCATTAGTGGATTTTGATGGACCATCACCAAACAAGCAAAGCTTGTGAATACAGCATTAAAAACTCTTATTAATTCATATGGTTCTTTCTATTCCTACAAGAAGCTTAAGCAGGAATATATACAGGTATATTGCTTTATCTATTTTCAGCCACAATAAAGATAGTCCTCATTTAGCAACCACTAAGTAACTGACTGAAGCAGTCACTAAGTGGGAAATCACTGCAATTTTGCTTTCTGGCTCAAAACAGGCAAAAATAATCAGTTTCACACCTTTAGTTTTTGTTTACCTCCTAACCACCATAGCCTTTGGAATGCTCACTCCAATGCTGGAAAGGCAATTAATGTTTGCATTCATTTTGGAGAGAGGGATTAAAAGACAGTAATCATATTGAAAGCAATGTGCCAGTGTCAACAGTCACGTGTCTGCTTAGTGTACTCTCTTCTAATACCTTCATCTCCAATTTCTCTACTCTGTTAGGGGAGGAGACTGCCTACAAAAAAAATCACTTGGCAGGACCCTTCCTTTCTGGAGTGGGCATGAGGGAAGAAAGGTTGCAGTTGGCATAAGGGTGGAGGAAGACAGGGAAGCACAGGAATCACTTGGACATCAATAGGGGCATCTATACAGGCAGGAGAGAGAGGCACGATAGTGTTTCCTCTCTCTTGTTTTACAGAGTTGGGCAGAGGTCAAAGGTTATTTGGATGGTAAGGAGGAAAGGGCAGGCATCCATTTTGCCTTGGAAAGGTGCCTATCAGTTCTGGCCTGCAAAGAGACCCATCTTCCCATCATGTCCTTCATTCCCAGTTGCACATGTCTGGAGACTCCACCCCAGTGCATCTGAAAAGGGAAGGCTGGCTTAGGTAGTGCAGGGTGGAAACTGCAGGGGAAAGTTAATTAGCCTTGGCAAAAATATGGAGCCCTCATAGTGGTTGCTGCTGTCATGGTTCCGACAGATGAAACTCTTCAAAAGAACTTCGAGGCATTGTTTACTTTAAAGAATCTTTTATTCGAGAAGCATAATATCGGCACTACATAATTGAAGCCAAAAACTGAATTCCCCTCCCCTTGGCACACAGTAGAAAAGCACAATTCGCTCCTCCAACTAACAGTCATAAATCACATTCCCCAATTAGCTTGAAACGCGGGCTCTCTCCACAACTCTCCAGCCCCCAAATCGTTATCAGCTCTGGGCTCAGTAACCTTGAATTCCCACACTTGAAATTGTTGTTATGACTAACTAGACTCTCATCCACATCCCCCCTCCCAGCATCAATCAGCCCTAAAAGCGAAAGAGAAAAATGAATGCATTTCCATCTGTTGTCAAAGCAATAACATCCGATGTTAGCAGCATTGACAGCTGCTTTGATGTGAAGAAAAGTTTGACTAAAAGGAGGAGAGTATGATGGGGCCAGGACTTGGCAAGTGGCTTCAGAGCTATCTCTCACTCTGCCCAGTATCACCCAGCTTTGGCAGATGGCTACCAATCATTTCTCTAATAGGATGCTGTGCTACAGAAAAGCCAGGGATTAGAAGAGAATAAGCAGCCACAATAACAGAAAGAAGTAGAGAAAAATATTTAGTGCAAAGACCTGTAAATAGAAGTAGCAAAAGAAAGCAAGGACAGTACCAATGCTATGACAAATTTTTTATTATTATAGTTGATTGTACTGTCAGCTGGTTGTTTACACTGAATTTGGCATTTTTATGTACCTATCGAGTCCTTTCCAAAGACCTGGGATAGGCAGATGTTGTTTGATGGTGTTAAACATATTGTTGCAAGATATAAGCTACTCTGAGTAAAGCTGCATTTTGCAATTGACTGACGGTGATTTTGTCAATGCTAATGGTTTTTAACTAGGGCTTCAGATGTTTTGGAATTGCACCCAAGATACCTAGTACTATTGGTACTATCTTTGCTTTCTTTTGCTACAGTTATTCCACTTCTATTTGCAGATCTTTGCACTAAATAATTTTCCCTACTTCTTTCTGTTATTGTGATATCTCCAGGTACCACAGTGTCCAATATTCATATGTTTTTTTCTTTCTTATCAGCAATTGTTAAATCTGGGGAATACGCCTGCTTACTGAGTTTGGTGGCAGCTGCTGGCACCAGCAAATTGCATGCCTGCTTATTCTCTTCTAATTTCTTCTCCAATTGCTCCATCATACAAGGAGAGAGAGAGAGAAAAAAAGAACAAGTCAGCTCCAGGGCATTGCATACTGAATATAATGGCAATCATGTGGCTAAAGGGAGGTTTTTCTGACAGTATAATAGTGGCTTGGATCAGTTTTTCTAGCCAAATACAGGATGCCAGAAAAGGAATGCAGTATCAGATTACAGTCAATGTACAGCTACCAAATTATTACATAACCAAGGTAATACCACCTTCTAACATAACCAAGTTGCTTCTCACCTTCCATAGCAGCTTGCAGTGCATTGATGGGGTCAATTTCTGTGATGATGACTCTAGCACCAAAATTTCTCAAGGCTTGAGCACAGCCTTTGCCAACATCACCATAGCCTGCTACAACAGCCACTTTCCCTGCAATCATGACATCAGTGGCACGCTTTATTCCATCAATGAGGGATTCTCGGCAGCCATAGAGGTTGTCAAATTTACTCTAGGAAAGAAAACAGCATTGAAGAGAACTGAACATTCTTTAGAATTGCATGTAAGAGCAAATTAAAAAACAGCTGTTATTTATTATTGTATGAAACTAAATTCTACTGGAAAGAAAACAGAGATTATTAAACATCTCCTGGGCGGCTCTTGTTGCTCATGGACACTCTATTCCAATGTGGTTAACAAAACAAGCCTATAACTATGGGAATTGTGGGCTAGGTTCTGGGGTCAATGGTCATTCTCTTCCTCCCACAAGCAATTATCTACATAATTGCACTACATGTAGTTGCCCTTTATCTCATTCAGCAGTGAAGTATAGTTTTCACATTCCAAAATGTAAACTATCTTCATTGGGGAGACTGATATACTGCTGGTGAAGGGTGTTGCTCCATTTTCTGCTATATGGCTCATGCTGGCTTCTCCACTGTACACTTATCTTTCAGTCTTGATGAGAGAGACCATCCCAAGTGGCTGCACTGGATGCTGTTGCTGCTTGCAGTTTATTTGTTGCAACTGGAGTAAGCTGCAGACAATGTGCAAGCAGCACTAGTATCCAGTGGTGCAATGGAGAGATCATTGCGAGCAATTTGCATCTACTGCTCATGGCAATTTCTCAATTATTTTGCAGGGTACTTATACTACCCACAGATCACTTGCAGGAGAAGCAGCAGCTGCAAGCATTTAGCACAGATGATGCAATCCTTAAGTACCTTTTACAAGTCCATCTGCCATTTTGCACATGGATAATGTAATAAAAATATTAATAATAACAATATTATTAGAATCCAATAAAAATATAAAATATAAAAGAAAAGACCATTCTACATGGGCAATTTATTGACAAAAGGATGGCAGAGAACATTTTGTAGTTTTTAAGCATTTCCAAATGCAAGAAAGGCCCATAACATTTTAATTTTGATGCCAAGTAGACATCATTCCCTGTTTAGATGCTTCAGCAGGAAGTAGTCATACACACATAAAGGGGGATAAGGAAACAAGATCTTCATGTAAAATATGAAGAAACAGTAAATTGCCAGCTAAGAAAGGAAAAAGGCAGAACACAAGAATACTGGTTGTTACCTTAGTGACAGAGTCATTAACATTAATAGCTGGCAACTTCAGGGTTCCATTGGCATGCATTTTGTAAAGAGTATGGACGCCAGTGGTCGTCTCCTCAGATATTCCTTTGATTCCTGCAAGGAAAAATCCAACATAATTTACTGCACTACTTCTTACGGTAGGAAATCTTAGATAGTAATTGACAGACATAACCATCTTTTGCACATAAAAAGGAATATAACTTACTTTTTGACCATCTATTTATTTCCTTTCAGTGTAAACTTTTTAAACAGTGAAGACTTCAGAATTAATGTCCAGTGCATGGGCAGAAGAAAACAATATGTATGGTCAAGAAGGGCTTCAAGGTTAACCCAGGAAGAAGGATCTTCTCTCAGTGACAAACAACAATATAACATTCTCAGAAATCGTGAAGCTGTTAGGAACATCACCTGAATATCAAATAGCTGATATAAAATAATCTTATGTTTACTTCAAACTGTTAATGTTGGAACTCAGTTCTGTTTTATGGAGGGATTCAATCATGATTCATGGATGCACTGCTGAAGCAGCATCCCTTTGCACGCTAAGACTACATTTAGAAGTCCACATTGTGGCCAAAATCATCTGAAAGTTGCATAACTGACCAGAGGTAGTCCTCGACTTATGACAAACATTTTATCACCTTTTATGCCACAGTTGTTAAGTAAATCATGGCAGTTGTTAAATTAGTAACACAGTTGTTAAGTGAATCTGGCTTACCCATTGACTTTGCTTGTCAGAAGATTGCAAAAGGTAATCACATGATCGCAGATCACTGCAATTTTCATAAATACGAGTTAGTTGCCAGGTGTCTGAATTTTGATCGTGGCAATGACCATGGTGATGTCACAACAGTCATAAATGTGAAAAACAGTCATCAGTCACCTTTTTTAGTGCTGTTGTAACTTCAAGCGGTCACTGAATGAACTATTGTATGTTGAGGATTACCTGTATTGCAAGGCTTGCATCCTCACAGAAATACATACATTTATCAAATTTAATATGGGGTACAAGAGTTACATGGACAGATGTTGATGTAACATCTGACAATTGCATGGTTACGGGTGGGGAAGAGTGGGAAAGAAAGTGTATAAGTCCCATTTAACAAGAAAGCTTCCCACCAGTAATGGAGGGAACTGCTTTGCAAACAGTGATTAGGCAAGCAATAAATATGTCTTTCAGCGAGGTATGGTTTCCATTTTCCTTTGGTTTTAGAAATATAGATATGTCCCACCACTGTAGCTATTACATATTTTATTGTAACTTCATCTGCAGTGGATATGTTATAATAACAAGAATTGAGAACAGTATTTGGCCTAACTGAAGGTGACATAACATTTATTGTTTTACTTTATTTTTTTTCTTTATATATTTTATTCAAGACAAAGTCAAAATACAAAACTCCAAACAAAAAATCCCAAAGAATACAAAAAAGAAAACACAAGACAAAAAACACAAAACAATCAAAACATCAAAAAAGTACATCAAAAAGAAAGAACATTACTTCTGGATGTACAATAGACAATTCTGCCCTCTATCTCTCCTGAAATATAACTGATGAGTAAATAGTCTTTGCAACATATTGTTTGTTAATATTAAGAATGAATGAGTAGGACAATAGCTTGATAGAGTAGAAAGTGCATGGCCTCCCTCTAGTGGGCATTTTACAAAATCTTGTTTGCATAACTTTATATCTCAATTACTAATTATCCTTTTAGTGTGTAGTTTTAATAGACCACTGTTGCATTTGCAATTTTATGTATTAAAATTTATAACCTACCATTACAGCTAAAGAAATCCTTACAGAACCTATCTACTAGTAATTCTACCTTCTCCTTTGTCCACGAAAGCTTCTGTACTTCTACAATTTTGGTTTCTACATAACAATATATATCTATATCTATAGATAGATAGATAGATAGATAGATAGATAGATAGATAGATAGATAGATAGATAGATAGATAGATAGATATAGTTATAGCATATAACTATATATAGCATACATAAGTGACCATATTAATTGCACTTTGTTGATTTATGTTTAATTAACTGTCATTTAAATTACAGTTAGTCTTGAACCTGCCTATTTTATGTAACCCCTTCCATATTACCAAAATGTCAAGGGCAGCACTGACTGAAAATTGCTCTCATTTTTGCTTAAATGATTACGAGCCTAGAAACTAATTATATAATGTAGCATGATGGAATAATGCCTGGGTAATATTGATGGACCTGTTAAACCAGCAGGATTTTTGCACTATAAGAACCAATGTTCGAAGGTCTTAGTTTGCTTCCTTATCATTGTCTGCTGTTAAAAATAATGAACAGGATATTGGAGGCTTAACCTGCATTGCAGGTTAACTGTATCACTACTGCACTAGAAAACAGCCTTCTTCAAGTTTGTAAATTAATTCTTGTTTTTCCAATATTTATGGTATCTATTTACCATCCTTACTAACTGCAATATATTTATATATGCAGTTTGCTAATTAGGTGGATTGCCACTTGAAACAGTGTAGATTTGTATTATGCTGGAACTACTACTGACTTTTGACCAGTTGCTTAATGATCACTCAAAATTACAATAGACACTCTCAAAAGCTACTTGTAACCTGATTTTGAAATAATAATAATAATAATAATGATGATGATGATGATGATGATGATGTTGGAAGGGACCTTGGAGGTCTTCTAGTCCAACCCCTGCTCAGGCAGGAAACCCTACACCATTTCAGACAAATGGCTGTCCAATCTGTTCTTAAAACTTCCAGAGTTGGGAGTTAATCTGGGTGAGATTAACGTGATCTTGATTCTATCCCTCCGTTAATGCAGCCTAGCACTGTGTTGGCTTTTTTGGCAGCTGCAGCACACTGCTGGCTCATATTTAAGTGATTGTCCATTAGGATTCCAAGATCCCTCTCACATTTGCTACTATTGAGCAAGGTATCCCTTATACTATACCTGTGCATTTGGTTTTTCTTGCCTAAATGTACAACCTTACTTTTTTCACCATTGAATTTCATTTTGTTAGATAGCGCCCAATGTCAAAGTCTGTCAAAATCCTTCTGTATCTTAAGCCTGTCTTCTGGAGTGTTGGCTATTCCTGTCAGCTTGGTGTTAGTTATGATGGCCCTACCCTCCTCTGGTCACATGATCTCATTTTGGGTATTTAGCAACCAGCTCATTTATATGGTTATTTGCAATGTCCCATGGTTATATGATCATGAACCATTTGGCCTGTTCCCGATGTTTACTTCCAGTTTCTTGCAAAAATAGCCCACTACATAAAATAGGTTTGTTTAACAATTGTGGTGTTTGCTTAACAACCAGTTCAAAAAGGGTCATAAAACCAAGCATAGTCATATGGTAACCTGCTTAATGATCACAATTTACAACAATAATTCTGAGCTCAATTTTAGTATAAATCAAAGACTATTTGTAGATGTTGATGATAAAGCCTTGAGTTCTGATCCTGAAAGACAATCCTGTTCTTGACAGGCATAGTTTCAAAGCTATAAGTGAATACCTATTTGTTGAGGGGATAAAGGCATTATAGTACTAAGCTGTTTTTACATGTCTTCAAAGTTCAATTAAGAGAAATTGATACTGCCTATATGGCTGATTCTGCCATGCAAACAGATACCATTCTTGAAATTAAACCTACCATCACATCTAGGAATGCTAAGAAGATGAGCTCTCATCCAAGTCATTTTTCTTCACAAAAAAACCCCAAAGCAATCTGCCCCTAATAACTGATTTGAATTATCTGAATTTGGGAGTGTTATATATTTTACATTCTGTGAAACAGGTTGGTAAATTATGTAAAAACCAAAAGCACTGATTATTTTATCTTTCTCACTGGAAGGTGACATTATTTTTATTTAGGTTGGTTTTGATGTGTAAGCAAGCTTTAGCTGCTTAGCTAAAGAAGATAGATCTGGGCACTTTCTCATCCATTGTACAAGATTTTCATTTGTGGGATTAATTACTTTACTATTTTATATTATCTTGAATGCCATTTGTTTATTGGAAAAACAGAATGCAAAGCTAAACAAAAATGAATAGGGAAGATGTGAACAGGAAGCCAGAAACACTGCATTAACTATTAAGTGAATGTGCCTTTCAAGCAACAAAACATAACGAGGCAGAACCACACTGTGCTATCACAGAAGTGCACGTTCTTCTGAACAATTTGTTTTAAAAAAACAACATTATTTTGGCAGCCATGTTCAAAATGCTCCTCCTCAAGTTCCAGGGTTTTATTGACGTTTTATATATTCTATTCAAATTCCTAATCTAGTACATAGAGTCCAAGAAAATATCAGCAGAGCAGCCACCGAAACATTTTCTGTCTTTTCTTAAATTTTCCACTTTATCATGTAATTCATAACAACAGAACCTGGGATATTCCTGAACAATTTAAGATTTAGAGGATTAAAAAACAGGGAAAAACTTTCAAGGGGATCTTTGAAATTAAAAGGATAGTGTTGGTTTTTTGGTTTGACTATGTTCCAAAAAGTTTGTTGTGTATTTGTTGCAACTGTGGAACATATTCAGTCTATAAACAATAAATATATGACATTTCTTCTTACTACTGTAGATTAATCTGGCAATACACTAATTAATACAAAAAAGTTCTATATACTACAAAAATTGTCATTATCAGGATTTTTAACTAGGTGAAATGCTGTATCACAGGACAACAATGTTTGTGCCTCAAATGGATAGCTTACAGAATTTGTACAAAAACCAGGAACCGTAACTCCCAAAGGAATGAAATTTGAGAAAGTTGTGGCTGCTTCAGTGCGATCACATGATCTTCATTTTCACCATGACAGAATGTCTATGGAGATTCTCAATTATCCAGATCATGTTGATCCCAAAGGTGCTTTTTCTAAAAGACAACTGGATTTTGTTTTTTTTTCTTCCCCTTTGAAAATGTTTCACTTCTCTTCTAAGAGAAGCTTCTTCAGTTCTCATGGGGTTTCAACATGAGTTTCCCAGCCAGTCTCAGCCACTTACCTGCCTGCTGGGCTGGGCAGATTTCTGATGCTCCCTGCCAGCTTTCCATAAGGAAACTCAATGAGGAAGCTGGCAGGAAATAGGAAATTACTCCCACTCACGCTGCTTTTTTGCCCACTCAGAAATCATGACCCAACAGGGTTATCTAATACAGAGTTCCCCAAAATTTTTAGCTTTCCGGACCAGGGGGGGGAGGGGATGGTTCTGCGCAAGCAGCCGGCGTGTGCGCGCAGCTCCATTTGTATGAGCAGTGGGCATACAAGCCTGCCACTTGTGCAAATGGAGCATATGTGCACGCTTGCCCACTGCTCATGCAAATGGGGATGCACGCATGCTCACCTGCCACTTCTGCGGCCTGGTTTCAAATAGCCCAGCAGCCTGGGGACGACTGGTCTAAATATATTCTAAAGTTGAAGCCACATTGTTACTGCAGCTGCAAAAAAATCTGAGCATAGCACTGTAAATACTAAGAAAATTACACAGAGAAAGGAACAGAAAATGACTCCTATTTATAAAATCAATTTCATTTAAAACTTATGGAATTTCATATTCATGCTAACCATGCTACCATATAGGTCAGGTTTTTTTAAAAAAATGGAACAATCGTAACAACTTTAAAAGGCCTCAAAATTAAAATGTACATCTCATTTATAGAGTATGAATACTTAAGTAGGTTTATCCAGCTTCTTGGGAAAATTTAGATATTTACCAAAGGAGGGATTTTTATTTCATTTTTTAAATAATTTTTTGTTAATATAAAGTAAAAATACAGGGACATGTTACACAAAAGCATATATCCATAATACCCCAAACTGATCAATGTTTCCCTCATATGAAGGGTAATCAAGGCTGGGTAACCTGATGCCTTCCATTTAGTTTGTGCACTAAATGAGAATAAGGGGGCAACTTGGGAAAAGAGTCCAAATCAATCTTCACATCTAAGGTGGTCATTCTGCCTTACTGAAGGTTGCAGAGCATTACTGGGGGGAAAAGTTTAATGCAAATAAATCCTCCTTTACTAAATGCTAAAGTCAATTGGGGCTTACAACATACTTGCCATACAAGTACAGTAAAATGCACTGTTTTGGGTGACCATGAGTTTTGCCTATCCTGCCATCCCTTTAAAAATGAAACTATTACTTCTTTCCCAGTGACTTTGAATATACAATATATTAGAGAATTATCAGTGTTTTGGAAGACTACACAATTACCTGTCAGGAGCTGAGGATATTTAGTGTGAACCAAGCTGGTGAGGTCTCCACCATCATCAAGAATCATGTTCAGAGGTTGTCCATCCTTGAAGTAGAGGGTCTGTTCAATACACCATATATATTCTTCATCTGTTTCTCCTTTCCAGGCATACACTAGACCCAAATCAAACATAAATCATAGGGCTTATAATTTCTCCAGCAGCGCTATTATAACCAATTGAGTTAAGTTTCAGAGCTTAAAGACAGGAAATGCTATCCTAATATAAACATTTTCCTTGGGTCAATAAAACATATTCTGTGTAGAAAACTAATTATCCCCCTATAAAGATTGGGATCAGAGTTCATCTGTTTCTCATATAATCTAAGACACTGACCTATAAGCCTCTCAGAGAAAGGCAAAAAAAAAATGCAGTGTAAATGTAAATATTACAAAGGCATCAGTGAAAAGGCAAGAACACTTTTGTAGAGTAACTTAGCTTTATTAACTCAAAGTAAAGATTAATGGCTAGATCAGCCTTCTTCAAACTGGTTACTCTTCAAATGTTGAAATTCCCAGAATTGTCAGCAAGGTCCTGCTGGCTGGGGAATATCAACAGATGATAGGAAAAGTGCATTTGTGAGCAAATGTGAAGAGAGAGAGAGAGAGAAGCAGATTACTCACATTTCCTTGCTCTCAAGCCAATATATATTTAATAGGGTTTTTTTTAATAAAAGCTATCAAAATCCCACAATTTTCAATTTCCTTCCTCCAATCAAATTGCTAATCAATGTATATGTCAGTGTATCCCCCAGAGGAATTAGCTACATAATAAGCATAGTTGCCTCCTAAGTGTTTTAAGGAAAAATGTGGCTCCATGGTTTTGTAAAAAAAAAGATTTAAATATATAAACATTTTATAAATGAAATATGAAGAAAGTCCAAGATATTCTTAAATATTGTGAAATAATTTAAGATTCATTAGTCTATAACAAGCAAACCAACAATATAAGGTGAGCTGTAGGCATTCTTCTGCATTGAGTTCACTTAGAAGTGAGAAGACTCATTATACTGGATCCAATATTTTGAAAAAGGAAATGTAACCTTTTTTCAAAATACTGAATCCAGTATGATACAAATAGTACAGAATCATCAAGATCACATATCTGCCTATTTCAAGATCAAAAGCTTTCTGATTAAAGTCTTCCACAGTACCAGATTTTTATTTTCATTTAGTTTTTTATTAATGATAAAGCAACATTCTAGTCTTTTATTCACTAGGAAAAAGGTTACCCTGATAGCACAGAATAACTTTCTTCCTAGGAATCCCCAATATTTTTGTCCTGTTCTCCCCTATTTTATTTTACACTCACAAGACTAAAAAAGGTCAGAGCATAACTGTTAACAATGCAAAGCATTACCAGGAATTCCAGTTTTGGCAATAGCTGCAGCAGCATGATCTTGTGTGGAAAAAATATTGCAACTGGACCACTGGACCTGAAAAATAATTCAAAATGCCATCAGCACTATATTTAATAACTACGGTATATAGAATGAAGAAATCTCCAAAGCTTACTACTTTCACAGAATTTAATGGGACGAGGAATGCTTTAAAAGCAAATAGTTTGAAAAATCGGGAGATGAATTATTTCCCAATGAAAGCTGAGTCAGAATTCAAAACTTTGTACCAGGTTAAACTAAAAGCTTTCCAAAATTCAGTAACTGAAAGTCAGAATGTTAATGGATCTTGAAGTGACTGCTTACTTAAGTTTCTTTTTCTAGCTTCAATCAAAATTTGTGATAGCTCTTTTTTCATAACAATTTAATCATTACATTGTAATGAAACGTTATAGATGGCTAGTTTGCAGCTAGGTCAGATACTGTTTTAAAGAATGCCATTGTTTCTTTGGTTCTGCTGCAAGCTCATTTCAGCTTTATAGTTTGGCACAAAAAAACAACCCATTGTACTTATTCAACAAACTACAGTTTTGCAAAACTCAGCAGTATCAATCCGGGATTAAGGAAGTTGCTGTTCAAACTAATTTGCATGCAGGGGATCAGTATTCCAACTATATTTTCAGATGAGCAAATAATAGTCTGGGTCCATGCACAATGTTAAGTCATAACTGTTGGGTTTACAGATGCAAACAAATCCCAGTATACCATGTGGATATAAAAGGATATAATCCTTTTCATTAGTGCCAGAATACAAATAGGATGCAGAGTCATCTACAGCCATCAGTACATCATGCCTAACCAGCTATAATTATTATGAAGCACTAAGCCATAATTTTATCAACCATGTTTTATAGATTAAAACTTAATTGAGTTTGCACAACATGATATGCCAAATTATTTACAAGCCACAATGAATAGGTTCATGTAAACACACTGTAACTGTAGCATCTTTACAAGATTAGAATGGAAAGACTAGTATAAACTATAACTATCATGTAGTGAAATGTTCAGTATGGCCTGGAGAAATACTGTAGTCCCCAAAGTTTTGAGATAAATATAAGTAAACAATTAAACGTTCCCAATACTGTGTTGCTTTTAACTACTTCTATCAACTGACAGTGTTAAATAGCCATACATAGCCCATCTGGTGTCATCCTAATATATCACAACCATTCAGGTGAGTGCAGCTTAACTCAAATGCAGCTTTACCTCTGCCCCCAGAGCTATCAGCGTCTCAATAAGAACTGCAGTCTGCACAGTCATGTGTAAGCAACCAGCAATTCGAGCTCCTTTCAGTGGTTTTGTGGGACTGTACATCTCACGCATCTTCATCAACCCCGGCATCTCATTTTCAGCAATGTCCAGAGCCTTGCGTCCCCATTCAGCAAGGCTGATGTCAGCTGCCGGTTAAGGAAATAATAGAAATTTAAATACAGCATTCATAAAACTATGGTCCAGTCTTTTCCAAACTTCCAGAATAAAATGTTAAGAAAGGAAACAGGAGTCTCATGTGCTAAAGTAAAAGCATTTGCTAGTTTAACATTTAAACAAATACTATTGACAAGAGCACTAATTTGACGTAGTAGGCATCAAGTTAGAAACTAGGAGATTGTGAGCTGTAGTTTTGTGTTAGCTACAAAATAAGCTGAATGACCTAGGGCCAGTCAATCCCTCTCAGCCCTAGGAAGGAGGCAATAGCAAAACACTTCGGAAAAACCTTGCCAAGAAAACTGGAGAACGTCTTGTCCAGGCAGTATCAGAGAATTGGACACAACTGAATGGAAAAAAAATTGACAAGAAGGAATTATAATCTTCAAGAATTTAAAGTCTTTGAATTTAAGTGTTCTTAGAATAACTGTCAATGTGCAAGTATTTTATGGAGTGGCTGAATTAAAAAAAATACTAAGGTCATTCATCAGCCTTTCAAGAACTAGAGGGGAATTCCCCACCACCAGAATTATCATACAAACTCTATATAACTGTCATTTATCAAGCACTTGGGTCTATATTACATCAACCATTTTTTTAAAAAATATAGGAAACTTCTTTCTAGAGCAATAACTCCATCTTCAAAAGATAAAACAGTGTTCAGAAAGCAGTTATTTGCTTACAAACATCTGCCTCTCTATTATAAAAAAAAAACAATATTGGCCTTGATAAATCTTTATCCAGACTCAGAAAAACAATTAAGATATGCTTCTCAGTGTATTTTTTCCCTAAAGTACCATGGCTCAAATTGATTTCATCAATTCATAAACTTCTAATATTTAAACAGACAAATTATAACAAAAGCAATGGAAATTGCAAAGATTTCTTTTCTGCCATCTTGCTTCAGGATTTCTAGATTAGTTGGATTATGAAAGCAGCAAATCACTTTTATACCCTAATGAAAAGAACATTCATGAGGAGCCATCAGTTTACTTAGATTTAGCAAAAATAAAATCATAAAGATGATTCTCAAAGTTTTGTATACTACATCAGTACTTAAGAAACTAGGAGACAATGAAATCTAATCACACCTTAGGCATGAAAAACTGACTGGTAACTTTGGGCCAATCACTCTCAGCACAAATCATCACAACATTGGGAAAAATTGAAAGAATATTTTTTTTTTTTTATTAATTGCATTTATATCCCGCCCTTCTCCTTACGGACTCAGGGCGGCTGACAATTGAATAAAATACTAACATATATACATATTATACCTAATTAAAATTTAATTAAAACGAAATATTTAAATATGTCCAATTAAAAGTAATTAAAACCCCTTTAAAATCCCTCAGGCCAGTCCCGCTAGCTGGAACAACCACGTCNCGGAAGGAAGGGAGATCAGGGATCACCCTGATCTCTGGGGGCAGTTCGTTCCAGAGGGTGGGGGCTCCCACAGAGAAGGCCCTCCCCCTTGGGGTCGCCAGCCGGCACTGTCTGGCTGACGGCACCCTGAGGAGACCCACTCTGTGAGAGCGTACAGGTCGGTGGGGGGTAGTCTGTGGCAGGAGGCGGTCTCGAAGATGTTTGCTGCCTTGAATTATCTGAAAATGGTGAATAAAAATCTAAACAAGAAGCAACAACAATAGTCCAATACCAAGAAAATACAGTGTTGGTTGGGGAATTCTGGTAGTTGAAGTCCATGTCTTAAAGTTGCATAGTTGAGAAACACTGTACAAGTCTTGGAAACAAGAAGAGCAAGAACAGCTAATATACATTTAATACCACTTGCAATTTTCTTTTTTTAAAAAAAAACACCTTATAACAGCAGTTGGTAATGTTAAAATCTTTTGTGATCCTCTTGCAAGCTTCACTAATATCCATTAATCTAAATAATGTTGGTATGTCTAATCTAGAGAAAAGGACTAGGGGGTGACATGATAATAGTGTTTCAATATTTGAGGGGCTGCCACAAAGGAGTCAACTTATTTTCCAAAACACCAGAATGGCAAGACAAGAAGCAATGGATGCAAACTGAACAAAGAGAAAAGCAACCTAGAACTAACGAAAAATTTGACAGTGAGAACCATAAACCAGTGGAATGGCTTGCCTTCAGATCTTGTGGGTATTCCATCACTGGAGACTTTTAAATGATATAGGGTCTCCTGCTTGAGCAGAGGATTGGACTAGAAGACCTCCAAGGTCCCTTCCAACTCTGTTATTCTGTTCTGTTATTCTGCATTTGCTGTACTTTACTGTTAGGGGACTTCTAATAGTGGCCATTTGGGGGATTCAAACACAAAAGAGAACACAAATATCCTAAGACTGGAGACCTATTCAGTTAAATAATAGATGTTTAACTGGAAATAAACACAAGAGAGGGAACAGATATTGCTCCAGGCAAAGCATATAAAAATGTTGAAATGATAGAGAAGCAAAAAAAAAAAATGCTGATGCAAAGCATGTAATAAATAATTGACTTTAGTCAACTTTACCCTAGAACAAAACTTAAGTGATTGCGTGTACATACACGTCTGACTTCAGAGAAGTTATGTGTTGAAAGGACAAAAGGAGAGAAAGAAGAGTTTTACCCAACGAACAGTCGAGTCCTTTGTTAAGATATCTAAATTGCCTTAGGAAATATCAGGATCTTCTGATACAAAATAACCTTTTGGAATTGACAACACTGATTTGTATGCTCTCAGACACAGAAGTTCAGATTAGCTTTATCAAACATGGCATTCTGTGGATGTTCACAGGTTGTAAATGACCAAAGGCTATGACCTATGGAATGACCTATGGAAGCTACAGTTCAATACACTGGTGGAGCTGGCCTAAAGATTTCCCCACGTTGTCCAGTATATATACATAATTGCACTTTCTAATTCTGATCTCTTAAAAGGAATGGCAAATCTCCAATTACTTCATTAAGGTATTCTTACATTGTCTATGGAATGCTTAAGGTCCTCAGAAGAGGGTCCAAATTCAGCAAAATAATATTGCAATAGTGAAAAAAGCTCGGATTCTAAACCTTAGGGACAACAGCCATAACTGAAAATCTCCATAGACAGTCTACCTTATGCTTGCCCACAAATGCTTCCATTATAATCACAATTCTTTTAGAATGTGAAAAGTTAGTAAGTCTTGATTCTGTATAACATTTAATTTTATGCAGCTGGAGAAACAACGTGTCTTTTAAAAAAGATATTTCTTATTCCGGATTGAATTTCAAATAACAGCCCTTTCTTTTGTAGAAATAATTACTATACATCGTGAATGGATTTAGGAGCCAGAAGGCAGCGGTTCCTTGACAGCATGGTCATCAGAAGCATGACGGGAAATGTAGTAATTTCAATTACAAGACTCCAATATCGTCCTGCTGGCGAGCAGTAAGAAGAACTACATTTCCCAAAGCCCCTTTTTCCCTCCGGAGCCACATGGCGTTTGCTCAGATATTGCATAAAAACGATCTAGCAGTCAATCCGAAATCCATTTTGACTGCAGAAAAAAAAACCCATAAGCCTTCCAACATTATACAGGCAGCACTAGCGAGGCTCTCTCCTTTAATTTTCAGATCAATTTTCAGTTAAGGACAATCGGTTGCATTTAAATCCTCCTCCGGAAGAAAGCATGATGTATCATCCTTTCAAGATCCTTTTAAGGTGTATAAAATAGCTCCTCTTTCAGTTTCAAAAAGAGCCTAAGGCACAGAAGAAAAAAAAGGAGGCATCGCGTGTTCCTTTGCTAAATGTTTCCGAGAAAAATCCGAGTCCTTAGCCATTGCTTGTTCTTTTTTTTGTTGTTGTTTTTGTTGCAATAAACCTCTATACTGTGTTCAGAAAGGAAACAGAACTGCCTCTATCAGGCCTCCTCCGGGGGCCGCTTGTGGCACGAAAAAGAAAGAATAGGAGAATTAACTACTTACCAACTTTGTACGGCAGCTTGTCGGACATTCTGGTGCTTTTACAGTGCAAAAGAGAAGGGAGAAAAAGGCAGACCGTCTGGATGGGCAAAGAAAAGCAAGCGGCGCCAAACACAGGCTTTAAATAGACTCGCCTAGTTTTGCAAATCCCCGAGACCCCGTCCACCAATCCCCGTCTGCGGCACGATGTGGGCGTGGTCATCGAATGCTCGTGCAGAGGAAGAAGGCGCTGCTCAGGCAGGGCAGGACGAGGAGGAAGAGGGTTGAAGACCGCGGCGTGACTGGGGCTGGGCGGGGAGGAGAAAAACACCTTCTTTTGCTAACGTCACAGCGCAGTTACGTTGTTTACGTTTGCTTTTGTATTTGTACTACATCGAGGGCCGCTACAGTACAGCTACGGTAATCCGGACGACCGTTAGGTGGCAAAAAGATCGTTTTCCGTCTATTTGCTGCCAACTAATGATGGAGAGACCGGGGCAATGACTGTGTGGTTGAAGACGCTGAACTAGTCAGCCGTTGACGGCCCGGGTTCTAGATCCAAGAGGCTCGCTTCCCCACCTCTGCTCCTGACCACCCAGTAGCTCAAAAGAATGCAGGTGTGAGTAGATAAACAGATACCACCTCACACGATTGGACGGGGGGGGGGGGACTTCACCTTTAACTTAATGATTGTCCAAATCTTAGCTGACCAGATCTGCCAGCTCTAAATAATGACAGCCTTAACTGTTAAAATTGTTTAATGTTGTAATCCTATTTATCAGTAAAGCCATCCTGTTGGATAAAAGGTTTCCTACTAAATATAACATTCTGATAACTTTTTTTTTAACTTTAACAAAGCAAGCCTAATGTTATACTTTGAATTACCAAAGTCCAGGTTTTTGCAATTTTGATAAGAATGTTTATGGCAATTTCAAGGATTTGCCTTTTCTTGTTCTTTTATTGCAGTATGTAGCAGGAATTGAGTTAGTTGGATTCTTTGTATGGACACATTCACCTGAAAGTAAATGGCTTAGGATGCAGCAGCTTTGAGTTCTCCAGACTGCAGGAAATTATCAGGGTGGTTAGCCATAAAATTATGCAGACTAGAAAAGGATGAACTCAAGAATGATAAGAAATTGGGTAATACTGTAGTTTCCAGTCTTTGTGCCAAACTTCACAACTGAGATTAATAGTAAATTGCCTATGAAAACTCAGTTCATGTGTATTGAACCAACCAAGAATTGCTTGATTGCGATTCAGGTGCCTTCTGTCAATTTAGTCATTCTGGTCTTGCATATGTGTAGCTTATTTAATCAGCTTGGTTAAACAAGTCGTGGTATACAGTACCATGTTCTGCCAACACCGTTTATGTACCCTAACTTAAGCAAAAGTTTAATTTGTACAAAACAGTGCTATGAATAGAAGACTCTCCGATTCAAAGTAATTATTACGTTCTATCAAAGTTATTACTTTTCTATACTAGGTATTAATATATGTTAACTAGAAAGCCAGTCTGGTATAGTGCCTAAAGTGCTGGGTGAAAAACTAGAAGGCCGTGGGCATTAGTTCTCCTTCAGGTGCAGAACTGTCCTAGTGATTTTGAGCCAGTCATGCTCTGTCAGTCCAAATCATGTCACTGGGTGATGATTATTGTCATGAAAATAGACAATGGAGCATTAAATAAATAAAAGACCTTAAGTTATACAAACAATGAAGGAGACTGCAGGTCAAAATGGCAGCAGTGACTGTAATCAAAGTCATGCCTTTTTTAATGCGAGTTCCATATGTAAGGCTAGGGCTTTAACCACATAGTCATGGCCAACCTATTGACTGTTTTGACCCATGCAGACTTTCCTAAACTGTAAGGAATCTTGCAATAATGAAGTCCTCCTCTCGAGAAGATGAGATCCCAAATATTACTCTTTTAGGCCTTCCGAGCATCTTCCGAATCTACTTTCCAGTAAGCCATTTTCTCAGGCCAACTTGACAGCTGTTCCCAGCAGGCAAGGTGGCTTTTGAAAGGTTTTCTCTAATGACGGTTCTATGGGTGTGCTACTGTCTTGGTTATTTTGTAGCAGCAGATATGTACAGATGTCATCTCAGACTACATCATTTCTTTGTACATGGCTTGATTTTATGCATGTAAATTGAAAACGGTATAAATTGGCATTAGCTAACTCAGTACCAAATGTTAAGTAAATCAATGTAACTAAAGCATTTGCACTTTTACTTTTTTAAAAAATATGTTTTATTAATTTTTTAACATAATCACCTTAATATTCGGTAAACAGTGTGTTGTTTGGGTTTACCTTCAAAAAACATTCACTAACAGTTGATTTCTATAATCCATAATCCACATAATAACTTTATTTGATTTCCTCTTTTTCCCATAATGTTCTCTTTTACCAACCTTAAGTTAATAAAATTCTTGTTGTTTTAATGAATAATGATTGAGTATAAAAGTTTTCTAATATTTCTACAGATAATAATCACATCAATATAATATTCCTTTTCTATCTAGTCATTCTGGTTGTCTCAGCATAGATCCTGTTTACAGTTCTTGTTTACATTTGTTTTTCCCACAATGTTCAAAACTTTCTTACTGGTTAAGATTTTCTCAAATTTTTTTTAATATATTTAAGTCTATTTTTTCTCATGTAAGCCAGCCCAATACTTTTACCTTTCTTAAGGAATAAAGAAGACTAAAAAAAGAAAAAAGAATAAGAATTAATATATATATAGTATGCTACTTAAAATCCCTATTTCCTATAAGCTAATACATATTTATTTCCATTTTTTTCCATTTTTTACCATAATTAAAAATATATTTAATCTTTAAATATTCCATTTAATAAATCTAGTCCTCTAGTCTTTTAACTCTTATTCAAAATATTTTTAATCCATTGTAATTTTCTTAAAGTCAATCACCTTTAAATATCTAAAACATTTCCTTTATATAAGCCATTCCAACTCTTTTATATTACTCATATCAAGAAATAAAATAAAAAGAAGAAGAAAAAGAAAGTGCTATGTTAACTGAGGGGCTCTTCCCTCTTAAAATCAAATTCACATCCAATTTTTTTCTATTTCTTTAACTATATTCGAACAGGTGTTTCTTTTTTAAATATTCTCTCTGATAGGCCCCATCGTCTATTTTCTTAATTTTCACTTTAGCCTTTTTCTTTTGCCCAGTATCTTTCTTAATCAATATGTTCTGCAGAGTCAAAGAATCTTTCCATATTCTTGTAGATCTTACTGTAGATATAAAAGGTAAGTCAAGTATAATATCTTTGTGAGAGGCATTTGTCCATTCATTTTTCTTGAAAATCTTTTTCTTTTTCTCTCTGCTTCTCTTATCATTTTTTGTCTCTCCAGTTTTAGTGTTTTTCCTGGCATCTCTGCAGTCTATTTTGTCCAATCTTTTTTCTTATCCTCAAATTTGTTTTGTGGTGTTAAAGTATAAGTTGTTTTTTCCAAATTCAGTATTTCTTGTAAAAAAAATTCCACTTGGATTAAATCATACTTCCTTGTTTGTTAGGTTCCATCTTTAAGTCTCTATCCTCAAATTTGTATTCAGTTGTCTGTTTTATCTATTCCTTCTCTGTTGTTGTTTCCTGGGATTTTTTTAATTCTAAAGTTAAATTGGAGATGAATTAGTTTATATTTTCAAAGTTATTTTGGATTTCTTTGTGGTTTGAAATCATTGTTATTTGAATTACTTGCAACGTATCATGTGTCTCCTTTTGAAAAGTATTTATTTTTTCTTGATCGGTTCTATAAATCTCTGATTTTCCATGATGACCAAGAATCCAAATTTTCTTTTCTCTGCAAATAGCTTTGGACTCAGAGTTAAATAGATACTTGTAATCCAGAAAGTTCAAAAAAGTTTTTTTTTGTTCCCTGAAGTTTGTAAGTCTCACTTTGTCTGCAGCCCAGATTGTTTTCTTTTTTTGTCACAGCTGTTCTCTATTGTTAGAGCTTTGAAGGTCACAAGTAGAAATTAGTTTTTTCCAGATTTTGCCAAGTCTTGCATGAAAGCAATAGCTGATGTAGTCTTCATCCACCACTAGATGTCAGCACTTGTTTATTTTTCAAATTTTCAAAATGAACAAATTGCCTTTAAAATGAGAATCTTAACCATACAGTAACTTCAAACATCCAAATTTAGGTTTTATAGTCATTTCATTTCAATACGTTTTGGTCCTCCATAAAAGGTTTAATTCGCCGCTTCCGTTAGTAAAAGGGTGGGGCAAAAATCCCCCTCCTTCACTTTCAGAGCTTTTTCCTTCTTGGGATTTTTTTTTTCCTTCAGGAAAGTTGATAAGTAGGATAGAGAAAATCGATGTTCTTACCCAGATTCAAACACGCTGTTTACAAGCAGATTAAAATAGTGCTTTTGACTTTGGTTGTTTGCAGCTTGGGCTAGACTTTGAAGTTAGGTTTCTGGAAGGCTTCTCCTGGACCGATTGGGTTGACCGCCATCTCTCCGAGGTCCCCGGAACTTCCTTCCTTCTTTGCCACCTCTTCGGGGTGGCTTCTGGCCCATTTAGGGTCCCCTAACAGGAAGAAACTCAGCCAAAGGGCATGGAGTCCTGAACCTCTCGACTGCTGCCGAGGACCGGAAGTCTAAAGCATTTGCACTTTTAGTCTGCTCTTGCCTTTCTGCCATATTAGTGCTATGTTTCCAAAAGACTTTTTTTTAATCTCCCTTCCAATCTCCCTTCTAATCTCCCTTTAGGCTTGGTACACTTCAAATGGATTTTTAAAGTATCAATTATACCAACTTCAAATAATCTGAAAGGAAGTATGCATGAAATCTCTTCACTAAAAAAAGTATTTGTGCAAGCAATGATATTGGACTAAATATTAGTGGAAGGGAAGGGTTAAGTTCCTGTCTATACTGTACTGATTTAAAAACCACAGTCTGACATGTGTGATAAAGATGGATATAGCCTGTGTTCAATTAATTTCTACAAATTACCTCCCCAGCAGAGGGCAGATGTGATTTAGTTCCTCTGTAACTTTAGAAAAAGAAGTCTCTTCCATTTGTTGCTTTTCTCTGCGCTCTTTCTAGAGTCTCAACAT